GCAATAAAGCCAGATTTGACCGGCGAGTGATTGAATCAACCTTGCAAACAGGAGACAGAGTTCTCGTACGAAATGTGAAGTTGCGTGGAAAACATAAATTGGCAGACAAGTGGGAGGAGGATGTTTATATTGTCCTCAAGCGAGCTGGAGAAATGCCAGTTTATACAGTCAAACCTGAAAGTAAAGATGGACCAGTGCGGACTCTGCACAGAGATTTACTTCTGCCATGTGGATTCCTGTCAGCAGCTGCAGAACCTGAAACAGTCAAACCTCGTCCAAACAAGAGACCCAGAACAAGACAATGTCCAGTCGTCGAGAGTGAAGAGGAGATCATTTCAGATTTGGATGATGTACCTGATTGGACATTCTTCCCTCGTATTACATCAAAACCTGATGCATATGTTGTAGTGCCTGAAACTCACAAGTTGAGTGAGCCTCCTTGTGCAGCCCAGAAAGCAGCAGAAACAGAGGAGCCTGTAGTTTCCCTCTCACCTGATGCTCCAGCAACTCAGTCCCTTGTAGGACATGGAAGTACTGGAGATATTCATGGTGCATCAAGTGTCAACTTACCTGAAAGTGTCAACTTACCTGAAAGTGTCAACTTACCTGAAAGTGTCAACTTACCTGAAAGTGTCAACTTACCTGAACGTGACAACTCACCTGAACAAGCAGACATTTTACCTGAACTGAGCTCAGTTAACAGATCTCCTCAGTGTTTGGATTTACAGCAGTCTGAGGAAACTCCTCCAGATAACGAGATAAGCTCAGATGCAGTAATTGATAATGGGTGTTGTGATGCGAATGCACCTGTTACTGCCCAGCCTGAACCCTTAAAGTTTCAAACTGATGGACTTCAAGATGGTGAAACATCTCTCCGTCGCTCTCAAAGAGTGCACACAAAGCCTAAGAGATTAGACTATGTAAAACTAGGAAATCCGCTGATAATGGTGGTGAATTCTCTTTTCCAGGGTCTTAGTGAGGCATTGACTAGCTCCCTGAATGGTTTTGAGAATGTATCTCATAATTCTGTTAGGCAAGTGTAAGCCGTATGATGTAGTGTCACATTGCAGATGCCCAGGGACGGGCATACCCTTCAGAGGGGAGGGTGTAACCCACATAANTTGTACAGCTGTTTGTCAATTTTATGGTTTATGTTACTAAAGCCAGTTGTTCTTTAAATTCATTTAACTGCCTTTGTGTGTCATTTAAACACCCCACCCTGCTCCGATAGTCGAACCTATTGGCCCATTCATCTAAAATATATATACACCCTTCTCATCTGGGTTACAGAAGAAATTTTTGGCGAGCCAGCCAGGAGCAAGAGTGTGTGTGTTTAAGTGTCAGACATCTTACCCCTGTTGTTAGAACTTCCCAAGTACTTTTTCTGAAAAGAAAAATGGATGTGGTACTCCGGGAGTCCGTCCAAATTTCCCATTCTGTGGTTGTTAGTGGTTTAACAGGGTCAGAGACAGATGAGGAAGTGTCCACCTTTCTCCAGAAGTATGGGTCCATTAATCGTTACATTCGCTTAGATGATCCTAAGTCAGATTTCCATAAAAACATGATTATTGAGTTTTCACATGGAACTGCCATGCAGACATTGGAGCCATTGTTGCCTCTTCAGCTTCCAAGCACGACTCAAGCAGGCATTGTGTATGAGTTAAAGGCTTTAGGAAGTGTTTACACATTAGATGCCAGAAGCAAAGCTACTAAGATGTACATGGAACAGCTCTCTGAAATTGCCAGGCTGAGTGGAAATTCATTAGGGGAAATGTTGAAGGAGGAACTTGAAAATCTGGTTTCATCTGCAGAAAGTGCTTTTGCCCAATCACCTGAGACCGATCCAGAAACCTCAGCTTCACAGAGTCTAACACCACAAAAAGACTCAACCAACCAAAGAGATGTTCCCTCTACTGAAAACCCTCAACCAGTGACTCCTACCAAATCCACGATTTTGACACCGGCAAATGATCCAAGTAAGCCTCTTACCCCTTTCATTTCCAGTAAAAACCTGATCGATCTCAACCCCCCACAGGCTTATTCTGTTTCATCTGAATCCACTGCTATGCCCCTAATTGATGTTAACCCACCTGCAGTTCAGCGAGTGGTGGTTGAGCATGTGGTGCGCAGCAATGATAACTCACCCCAGTTTGCCTCACCCAATAGACTCAGAGCTTTTTCAGGCAAGAGRCCACGTCCAAGCCATGAAGCAGATTATGATACATGGCGTGCAAGTGTTGAAATTCTTATCAGAGATCCATCTGTGTCAGACTTGCATTGCACACATCGTATCTTGGACAGTCTTCTTCCTCCTGCTTCTGAAATGATTAAACATTTGAGCCCACAGTCTAGTCCCTCAACTTATCTCAAGTTGCTTGACTCTGCTTACGGGACAGTTGAAGATGGTGACGAGCTTTATGCTAGGTTCATGAGCACGTTCCAGAATGATGGAGAGTTATCTTCTGTTTTCCTGCAGAGACTGCACACTGCTTTAAGCAAAACAATGAGACGTGGTGGTGTGTCCGCTCATGAGTTTGACCAACAGCTTTTAAAGCAGTTCTGTAGAGGCTGCTGGGAAAATGCTTTGATAATRGATCTTCAGTTGGAACAAAAGAAAGCAAAACCACCTACCTTTGCAGAATTGTTGCTCCTTCTTAGGACAGAAGAAGATAAACAGGCTGCAAAAATGACTCGTATGCGACAGCATTTTAGCCATGCAAAGTCTGGCCATAACCCCAGCAAGCAGCGTGCCATGTCACAAGTTCATATTGCACATGACACAAATGATCTGATAAATAAAACTGATTTTGAGATGCTCAAGCAACAAATTGCTGACCTCAGCATTCAGGTGAAGAGCATGGTGTCCACAGGCCAAAAGCCAAAACAATCTAAGGAACAAAAAGCAAAGTCTGTTCCTCTAAGTGTCACACATGAAGCTCATGTGGTGAAACCAAAAACAGACCATCAGCATCCCTCCACATTTAAAGCAAATGGCAGACCACGTCCCTGGTACTGTTTCCAATGTGGAGAGGATGGCCATGTTGTTTCAGTTTGTGATAAAGCACCAAATCCTTCCCTTGTAGCAGCTAAGAAAAAACAGCTAAAAGAAAAGCAGGCTGCTTGGGAAGCCTCTAATGCTTCTCAGAGTGAGACACATTTAAACTAGTGTCGGCTTCCATAGAGGGACATATGGGAGCAAAGTTACAAAACTCCAGTCCCAAAACCATGAAATCTGTTGTCAAGAGTGTTGAGGTAGGAGGGTCAAAATTACCACATGGCCTTGTGGGAACTAAAACCACAGCTCAAGTATCCATTGCAGGGAAAGACACAAACTGTCTACTGGACACAGGTTCACAAGTCACAACTGTGCCCCAGTCCTTTTATGAAAAACACCTTTCTGATTTGACCATTCATTCTTTAAATGATTTGCTTGAAGTGGAGGGTGCTAATGGCCAGTTTGTTCCCTATTTAGGATATGTTGAGCTTACCATCACCTTTCCTAAAGAGTTTGTTGGCTCTGATATTGAAATTAATACTCTGGCCTTGATCATTCCACACCTCCGCTCTACAGCCCATGAACAGGTGCTTATAGGCACAAACACACTTGATGTTCTTTATGCTGATTACCAGAAACTTTCATCTTTTCAGCCTTTGATGAATGGATATCAGGCTGTTCTCAAAATACTTGAGATACGACAAAGGGAGTCTAACTACAACAGCCTTGGTTGTGCAAAACTAATAGGCAAGCTGCCTAAAGTCGTTCCTGCAGGACAGACCGCCGTCGTTGAGGCTTTTGTTCATGTTGATCATTTCAACATTCAAAGAGATGTCATTCTTGAGCAACCATCAGCTTCTTCTCTACCGAATGGGTTACTGGTTTCAGCGATTGCAGTAACTCTACCAAGCAAGCGCTCATGTCATCTTCCTGTCGTACTAAGAAATGACACAAATCATGACATTGTCATTCCCCCCAAAACTATTGTGGCAGATGTTAATGTTGTAGTACAAGTGTTACACAAAGAACATGCTGTCAGTGAACCAGACTGTTCTCAGTCTCCAGCAAAGTCTTCCCGAGAGCTAAGCTTTGATTTTGGAGACTCACCCTTATCCACTGAATGGAGAGACCGAATAACAAAAATGTTAAACACCATGCCAAACGTTTTCTCTCAGAATGACCTGGATTTTGGCCATACTGATAAAGTGAAACACAGAATCAAGCTCAGCGATGAGACGCCTTTTAAGCAAAGAGCCCGTCCGATACACCCCAATGATGTGGATGCTGTGAGACAACATCTACAGGAACTCCTAGATTCTGGAGTCATTCGGGAATCTGAGTCTCCATTCGCTTCCCCAATCGTTGTGGTTCGCAAAAAGAATGGTTCTGTTCGTCTGTGTGTAGATTACAGAAAGCTGAATCTACAGACCATTAAGGACGCCTACGCTCTTCCAAAACTGGAAGATGCTTTCACTGCACTTGCCGGTTCCAAGTGGTTCTCCGTCCTGGACCTCAAGTCAGGTTACTACCAAGTCGAAATGGAAGAAGCAGACAAACATAAGACCGCATTTGTGTGTCCTGTTGGATTCTGGGAATTTAACAGGATGCCCCAAGGAATAACAAATGCGCCTTCAACTTTCCAAAGACTGATGG